TGTGCAACAACATATATGAATGTAGGTGAAACTTATCGTGAAATGAAAGATTATACAACAGCATTAACATATTATCAAAAAGGATTAAAAATACGTGAAGAAAAACTGGCAAAAAATCATCCTGATTTAGCTGTAATATATCATAATATGTCGAAATTATATTTCTCAACTCAAAAATATAGTATGGCAAAGAAATATGTTCAACAAGCAGTTGAAATTGGACAAGAGAAATTATCATCAACTCATCCACATCTCGTAGAATATAGAGAAACATTTGAAAAGACTCGAAAGAAACAGTAAAATATTTCGTTGGTTTTTCTTCTTCTAATATTTACTCAAATAAATTGCTTTGATAACTATTGATTATTTACTATTCGCGCGTACACGCGCGTGCGACCAGAAAGACCTGCCGTGCGTCCAGATATGGATATGCATAGAGCGGACCACACCGGACTGCATAACACAGGCGTAAAATCAATTTTCCCATTTACTCAAAACGTGTTTCGGAGCCACTCTATCAGGATGAAAACAAAAAGTATATCATATCGCGACGTTTTTAACCGATTCAGCAGCTGCGGAATGCATTAAACCGGTCAGCATTAACGCGTTTTGCAGCATTGAAAAGTAACGAAATTTTTCCCACGGATATTAAAATGTCTTAAAATGAGTGAAGAACAATTTAAACTTAAAATTGAGCCTGTACATTATGATCTTAAACAACGAGTAGCTCACTATAAGTCATTTATGGATTTATTTGTTTAAAAGATGTAACAAGAAATATGAAGATATGGGCATATCTAATTATATTTGATCAAATTGCATAATAGCTTGCCATTCGTTTCTTTCTTCTTGTCCATGTGCTGTTTTCATATCATTCATTAATAAACATTTGTTCCATTTGATTTATAATCTTTATAGATGAAGAAAACAAAGTGTGCTTATTGTGAACAAAATTATTTTTCACATCAGTCGACTACTAAGAAAGATCTTGCATGCTTTTGTAAAGCTTACAGAGTAGTTTTTCACGTAAACTAGAAACGCTTTCTGTCAGATGGCCAATTTTTTTTGTGAGGCTCAAATGTCGGGTCATCGCTCTTATATATATATACGAATTTTTCACAACCAAGACTCTTTCTATAGACAAGAAAAATATTAGTGAACTATAGGTCGAATACGATGAGGCTAGATATTTTTGTTGAAAAAATTTATTAAAATATCATTTCATTCGAAAAGACGAAGAAGAATTTATGCATATAGTTCACATCAATCGAAAATGGTTATCACAATAACCACATACGTATGTGAATTAATGAGAATATATTTGCAAAGGATAGAATAAATGTGACTCATGCACTGAGTGTAAATAGTTGAAATTAGTTTAGTTCGAAATTCTGTCTATTTTTATCTCATGCAGTTCTGTATGATCTTGCTTTAGTAAGTACACGCAATTGATACGATGATCGATTTGTTATTATATATATTGGAATAAAATTATAACTATTGCAATGATACAATATAGATCAATAATAGCTTCAAGTAATTGAGTTAGAGGCATTCAAAAACAAATAGAAAATTGTCTACAAATAGTAATACCAAGAAAAATTTCATATCTATTCTATCTATTACTCATACTCAGGTAACAAAAAGGACGTGAGCAGCGATTTATAGATAGTTTTAAGTTATCATCTAAGACAAGCTTATGTAAACTTCAAATTTAATAACGATTGACGTTTAAATATGCTATACTTGAGTTTCAATAATTACTACTAACGAGTAAATTTCATTTGATATCATACTGAATAATTTAGCTCAACTCATCGAAAATCATTCCATTTTCATTGCAATCGCTGTATTAATCATTATGTTGTAAGTTTTTCTTAGATATTGCATTCGAAAATAAATAGACGAAATAAGTTTATCACTTGGTATTCTTCTTACCAATAAACAAGACAAGAAAGAAAACGAAAACAAATAAGCACGCATACAATAATAATTAAACGTATATTTTTCAGGAATATTACGAACAGAAAAAAATATGATTGTCGTTTCCATCATCTTAACAGTAAACAAGAATTACAGGATCTGGAGGAGAATTGTTAATGAAATAAGTGGAGTTAGAAATATGTCGTGCCAAAAATAACAATAGGACAACATGAAAAAGAAAACAGGAGTAACAAAGAGAAAGAAAAAAGAACAACAATGATAACAATCTTTTTCAATTTGAGGGACAAAAAAAAATAATGAGGGAAGTAGAGTGTTATCAATTGATCGATATGTGTCATAACAACTAAAAGTAAAGAAATAATTTAATTTCTAAATAATTTCTCTCTTACTATCAATGATCATTGTGAAGGACCGGTGCTCACTAAAGAAGAGAAAATTTTAATTTAACCTTATATTCAATTTATGAATTTCGTTTCTTCAATATATCGATGTTTATCTTTCTACAGCAGAAAGCAGAATAACTCAAAAACATTTGAATAAACATCCACATGAGACGAAAAAATCTTTTTGATATTGTTCTTATATATAAAACATCGGTTTTTCTGTGAAAAAAGAAAAAATTAGTTTGAAGCTGTTGAAAGCGATATAATCATACCAGGACTCGTTGTTTGCTGTTTATTATTGGCGCAAGATTTGACTGCGAATCGAGATGAAGAAGACGATGATAGTAAATTTGAATCATCATTTGTTTCCATAGCTTCAGCTGATACGCAATTTGCATGATCTAGGACACCATTCGATCCGGATATTTTGAAATGAAATCTTTAATTAGAGAGTTAAATTTCGATTTTAAGTTAAAGATAACTAATTGTAATTTACGTTTGAGAAGCTATTTCAGGGGATAGGATTTTCCTTGGTGATCGATGTCCAGTATTAAAGAAAGCAAATCGATTCATCTCTTCAATTATTGATGGAGCAACATAAGTAAAACCCTGTAGAAAAAAAAATATGAAGGACAAAGGGTTTGCGTTTTTTCTCTTCAAAAATAAAACATACGAGAAACACTTGATTAGCACTTTCACTCAACATATTATCATCAGGTGAATCAACAGGCGTTTGTTTTGTGAATTTTGTATCGAATTGACTAACATCATCGTCACTTTTAAGAATTGGTTTATGCGGTGGCTCGTATCGTTTGGCATAGACATCGGCCCAATTGAGATGACGGAAAAATGAGTGTTTCTAAAAGAAAACATTTTCTTAAATCGTTAAAGCAAATTTTTAGTTTTTATTACTTTGATTGATTCGGCGTCGTCTGGATCACTACCAAGTCGATGGCTTACTTGTCGACGAAGTAACTAAAAAATTAGATTCTAATTAGAGCATTGCATGAGAATCAATATCAAAATGAAACGTGAATAAACATTAAGCTAAGCTTTTCACAGATATGGTTTTAACCATCTAGTGCTGCTACTAAACGTGTGTCGTAGCTAAAAAAAGCCAGTTTCTTTTCATCAAATACAAGATAAATTGAGTTTCCGATGATCTTTTCTATTACACGACAATTTAGTTTGACATTCATTTGAATATGATCAATACAAAATAGTATTTAGTAATCGACTGTATACGAGAAGAAAAACTAACTGCGAGTTGTAAAAATCGGTCACCTCGATTAAAAAGTTCATAATTTATCCCCTGGGTATTTAAAAAAATTTTAAGTGACATAAATAGAACGAATTCAATTGTGACTTACACTTTTTATCAGTTCTCTTGCATCAACAGTTAAATATGCTGGTATAATCAATTTAGCTTTAATAATTTTATCCATTGTTCGTTTGCGATCATCAGCTGTAAACGGTGGCTGTATCAAACAGGAGAAAATTCTGAATGATAATATGGGATAAAAAAATAAATAATTCAAAAACTTACAGCACCCGTCAACATATCATACATAAGTGCACCGAACGACCACCAATCAACTGCTTTGCCGTGACCGCTTCTTGTTAGAATTTCTGGTGCCATGTATTCAATCGTACCGCAAAATGTATTTGTCTGAGTACCTTCATATACTGACTCTTTACATAAGCCAAAATCAGTTAATTTAACATGGCCTTTAAAGAAAAAAAAATCACTTTATTATTATCATTTTAAAAACAAAAAATTACCTTGAGCATCCAGTAGAATATTTTCTGGCTTAAGATCTCAAAGAACAAAACAAAAAATAAAGATATGATACTCCATTTTTTTTTCAAAGCTCTCACCTCTAAACGAAAAACTTATGTCAAAAGAACGATAGAAAAAAACGAACAACGCACTAACCTATAAATAATTCCTTGTTTATGTAAATGCTCCAATCCCAATAAAATCTCCGATAAATAAAAACTACAAAAGAAAACCTATTTAGATCTAAAGTAGTTACTCTTCTTACCAAGCCATATCATCCATAAATATTCCTTCTCTTTCAAGTTGCATAAACAGTTCACCACCCGATAGGTATTCAAGTATCAAATATAATTTACCGCCTGTTTGGAATGCATATATAAGATCAACAATGAATGGACACTAGAAAGAGAAATATTAAATGTACTATTTCTAGAAGATTATTTGGCGTGAAACACGATAAAAAAAAGTATTCTTCTTAATCTTACAACTCAAAAAGTGAGTTTGGAAGAGAGAATTCGAAAGTGTACCCATAGAATTTAATGCTCCTTGTCAATAATTGTGTTCTACACAAATAAGAGTTTGATAATGATAGCAAAATTTTACTTTAACACATTCAAGAATATTTCTTTCAGCTTTGGTATGAGCAGTGTCTTTTGCATTTCGGACGATTCTTTAAAGAAAAAAGGAAACAAAGAATAAATATAATTAATTACAAAAAATATATATATAAAACATACGTGGCTTTTTTGAGAACTTTCATAGCAAATATTTCACTTTGATGGCTTCCAGAGACCTTTCGTACTTGAAAAACCTGAAAAAAAAATGAAATTGTATTGGATATCTGGATGATAAATTTCATTTCTTACTTTTCCATAACCACCTTTGCCTAACACTTTTAGCAATTGAAAATCATGTGGTGAAACTCGTTCACCTTGTGGATTTACTGTATTTTCTGTTATTTGTACCGTTTCAATTAAACTATTAAATATTTTTGAACATTTATAGAATTTAACTCGATCTTTAGTTCTAATATTACCCTGTTTGAAACTGGTCAGCACCTGTATCATTAATAACAAATCGATTATCATCATCGTTGTCGATCACTGTTCCATTATTATCGTCATTTGAAGTTTGTTGAGAATCTCCCAATGGATATCGATTTTCTCCCATTTCAATAGGAAATAAGGGTTCATCATCGTGATTGTTCGACATGATTAAATAAAAATATTACTGTGTAAAAACAAAAGGCAATTTATAATCTGTTCGTTCTTGTACGTGTTGTATTTCAGTGCATAATTGAGATCGTTTATCTGGAATTTCAAAAGCATCATATGAATAATGATGAAGACAAAACATAGCACATATTTTAGATACTTAAGTATTACCTATGATATACATAAACGAAGAGAAAAAAGAAGAGACGTTCGAAGTACAGGGTACATTTACCAACGAATGGAATGAAACAGAGGCCGAGATAAGTAGGTACATGTACTTTTTTGCCATTACAATAAAATGATGCTGTGCCTCGGAAAAAAAGAGAAAAGATGGCGCTCGAAACAAGAACATGTATAAGGCCAAAAAAAAAATGAATTTACAACGATTGATATGGCCACGAATAAAATTATTAAAAGCATATTAAATACACCACATTCTTTTTCTAGTCTAAAGAGTTAATTTTCATTCGGTTTGAATGAAATTAAAAATTTCAACCTGTTTTAAATAATTTGATGATTTTTCATAATTTCAAAACGATTTTGTTAGAGATTTCTCTATGAAAAACTAGTTTCAATATATTGATAGGAGATCCTAAAAAAACAATTTGCACATGTTTCAAACGTATTTTTACTCATTTCTCAACATTGCGCAAAACGTTTTCGATCCAGTTCGGGATCCATATTTGTCGTTTTTAACATCACGCCTTTTTTTATCAATTCAACTGAGAATTAGCTGCAACTAATTAAACAGGATGCAGTTGTCACATGTGCCAGTAGTTCTTCAGCGCGAAATCCGTATGGGTTTCGTTCACCTGAGAGTATGAAGAATAGCGTGAAAATTGATTTTTAGCAAGTGTGAAAGATAGAAATATGAGTTCAATTGAGCTATTTTTCATCAGAGGGAAATCCGATATTTTCTATTCTTCGTTATTCCCAAATGTTTTCGATGAAATTATTTGAGATTCACAATCCTTTCTCATCGCCGAGAAAGCAACGAATTACTGCACTAATGTCCACCTAAACTATAGACAACATCAGAAAGCGATGTTATTCAAAATCTTGCCATTCTTGGGCAGCATGAAATCTTCGTTCAGTACGACCTCTATTTTGAAACAGATAATAAGGCTCTAGAGTGTAGGCGGTTGCCCTGATCATCATTCAATAACAATGAATATACCAGCTTTTATATAAACTATTTCTGCATTAGAAATAAAATAAATCTGTTGTCATGGTAATATATTGTAAAGTGCAATAAAAATGAAATATGGAAAAAATCGATTATTGGAATCAATAATGATAAACCTAAATTTTTCTGGTTAGATTATAACATCGTAAGTAGAGAGAATTATTTCGAGATAATTATAATTCCTATAAATAGTTTTTCAGAGTACACAAGCAGAAAATTAGGCTTTACCTTAAGCGAAAGAGAAAAAGAGAGATTTTTCTTTATTAACATTATATGCTTTCAAGTAATACTTTTCTCATTAAATATTTACTTTAGAAAGTTAAAGTAATTTTATAAGTGTTGAACATTTTACAAAATACAACACTAATGACAATATCTTGCTTCTACTCGATTCAAGTAGTCTACGAGGTAAACAGTAGATGTATGATAAAGAACGGTAATCATTACATAATGGAAAAACAGAATTGTCAAACAGATGTTGTTTTGGTATTGAAAACATTTGATAATTTAGAAAAATGACTTTGACTTGCCTGATAAGAAACAACTAAAATGAAGAAAACAAAAAGAGACGATCACATTATTTTTTTTCATCGAATTTTATATACAGTACAGTGTAGAAATGGTTCTTGATTGAGACTGCATTGTTTTTCTATGAAAAAGAGGAAATTACTCAACAAAGAGCTATGTACAGAATACACATTTCACAATACTTACAGATGTCGGAATAGTTTACTAAACATTTTTGGAGTTTAGAAAAGTACATTTGTTCGCTGAGAAAATTAGTCTTCTACTTTCCATCATTTAATATACCGTCACAAACAGTACGATGGTTGATTGATTTCGAAAATGATTTTTATTCTAGCGTCGTCTACTTGGCTTGGTAACTATGTCTATGAGTGATGCACGATTTCGAAAATATCAGACTTTCTTACGCAATCGACCTGAGTCAAAGATGACAGTCATCCATTAAGAAATTAGTTAACGCTTCACGAAGCAAATCAGGAAACACGATATTCTATGACACTCGTTGTGTCATAAAGCGAGCCTTTTCGATAGTGTAAGAAAGCTCGTGCGACTCTCTCAATGAGTCTTGAAAGACCGAAAATTGAATGCAAATCGTATAATATCAAATGCATTTCTTTATATTTGTTTCTGTGTAAAATCTCTTGTCTGACCTGACAAAACTTTGCAGAAAAAAGTTCACTCTTTTGAGTAAGAAGACCGCCAAAGTCTCTACATAGTGTTGTTGCCATATTATAGTAAAAATAAATTCAACACAAAGCTTTTACATCATCTTTCGAGAATTTCGAAAGCTGTCGTTCTACCAGTAAATATTTTCTATTTAATAAAATAAAATAATATTTATTCACGCAACCGAAAGAAAAAACACTCAATAACTTTTCTTTTTTGAAGCCCAGTGACGAAACAGAAGATTGCTTTTCGAATACAACAAACAACAGGAAAAAAATGGTTAAGTTGTAAGATCACATATTGTGAAATACAGACGAGTAGTATTAACCAAACTTGATTGCATATAACACTTAATCAACAATAAAAAGTAGTCTCCCCGTTTGGTAGGCAACTCTTGAAAAATGAGAAACATTAGCATATTCTATAAAAAAGGACTCTTTCTTCGATAAGTATGCTTGAAAAAATAAGATTTTTATATTGTATCTTCTGTTATTGAGATACTCTCAAAGGTTATTTATTCATCAACTCATTGTGCACTATATTTGGTTCCTATTCAACGATATTTCAAAAAGCAATTTATCTTTTATGTTCAAAAATGAATTCCTGATGTAAATTCTCAACAAGTGTTCTAAAATTTTTGAAAAAAAAGATTTACTCTGTGTAAAATTATTCAATATTCTTTTAAACAGGCATAATCCCAAATCCTGCGGCATTCATGATTTTTTGAAAGCTGTTTATTACGACCTAAAAATGAAAACTTTGCCTTTTATCACGTCCGTAATTGAACCTAAACTAAACCAGTTATACTGGAAAAAAAAACTTTTTTTCATATACACGAGAACGTTCGTGTACTTAAATTAAGCTTACTATGGATTTGTATTCATTCTACTAATACCGCTTTGGTTGACTATACATGTATTTCTCCAATTTTGGAGTATTTATACTCACGATAATTGTCTCAATGTAGTTTTCTTTCAATATTGTTATATTCAAAATCTAGAAAAGCCTAAAACTCAATTAAATTATTCTTAGATGTATGATCGAGCACCACGTTCATTTCAACTTAAAATTGGCTGTACACCAGATCATGTTGGACCTGGTACCTATGATCAACGAAGGAAAAAAATTGCTGAAGGTTTGTTCATTTTATCTTCATGATTGACAATTATATTTTTTGAATCTTATTCGTGTAAAATTCTAAATAGAAAGTTATGCGCCATTTCTATCCCTTTCTAATCGTGGTAATATATTTTCCAGTGAAGATAATCCGGGACCCGGCTACTACGATATTCGCAATGCTCCTTCACCAACAATAAAAGTAAGATTGGATAACTTATTTCGTGTTATCTTTCTTGGTCTGCCTTCGAATTTTCTATTGAAGAAAACAAAGAGGATTAGAATATCTTGTTCTTTATTTTTGTAATAAACCATTATATATTCTAAAATAAATATGGTTATTATGATCAGATGAGAATTAGTATTCAAACAAAAAAAAAAGAAGAAAGAAGATGAGATTGAAAATAACTTTGTCTTCTTGTTTTATTTATTTTATGTTGAATATTGAATAAGAAAAAAAAGCTTAGAGTTACGATGAATAGATAAGCAACGCGTGTTAATTTGACTTTCAATGAATATATCAAATACTCTTTCACGTATCATCATAATGGATGTTTTAATCTCAAATAAATATTTTATTTTGAATTGCACAAACGCTCGGCTGCTCTTTCACGTATTTCTGTTCGTTTACGTTCGCTGATATTCGGTTGAAGATCATTAATCATTTCGTCCATAAGACCATGGGTCAGAGCTGAACAATCATTAAATGGTAAAAATTCATCGGATGATTTGTATATGTTAAAATATTTTTCAGTAAATCTTTCTAATTCATAGCGTTTTTCGTTTGACCAATTAGCATAATCATTGACTTGATTTACAAATTCTTTAATAAACAAAGCTTTATCTTCATCACTAACATAAGAACTTTCAAGTAACATAGTTTTTAAAAGAGGGAAATTCCATTCAACAGAATAAGTTGAAGTTTCGAGAATATGAGCCACATTGAATAAAAGTTTAAGGGGATTAAGACGGCGCATTATGTTTGCTTTTGGTTTGATAAATACAGCCGTTGGAGACGATGATGCATCCTCAATTTCATGCGGCTCTCCAGAATTTAATGTTACAAGAAAGATCAGCATATATTGGAATATAATCATTGATTTAAACATTTTTAATGATTGAGACTTTATAGAACGGACCAGATTTGTCTTTGTTTGCGTGTTCACAGCAGTGTCAATAAGGAATGTATGAAAGAGGAAAATGCGAGAGTTGTTTCTTCAAATTTTCTTCTTATGAAAAAAAAGAAAAGGGCGAAAAAGAAAGAAAAGAAGAGAGAGCGATAGAGATAGAGAGAGAGAGAGAGAGAGAGGAAATGATCTGTTTACTTCTGCGTCTTCATTGGTGGAAGATGATTCGTAATTAATTATTAGATTTTAATGATTAACCACCATAAAGGGTGCTATTTCAAGGACACATCCGCGTAGGATTTTTTTTCTGGCAACTGACTATGAATATTCACTTAAGGTGAATGGAAATATTCTACTGTACTGTGCTCTTTTTTTGCCTTTGATGATAATTTGACTTTATGTGTCAGCAAAAACAAAACAACAAATATTTCTCAACGTATGAAATTTTTAAGTCATGACACGTACAGTCATTCATCAAATAACAAATATAAAACATTTGTTTTAATCCATGAATCTCTCATAATGATACCTATTAATTTTTTTTTAATCGTATTGATAATTCTTTACACGCAACTAATTATATATAGATATAGATGCACAAGAGAAAATTACCCTGTCTTTTTATTACAATAATTCATGACGAAGTTGTTTTAAAACGATGAGAATATTCATGAATAGAGCATTGAAGAAAATATAGAATTATTAGAAATTCACTTTGTTTTTTGTTTACTTCATATCGCCTGATACAAACTTCTTTCATATGTTCTCATTTCGTTTCTTTTACGGTTATTGAACACTATCATGCCAATGGTATAAACGCATCAAAAGAGGTTTATCATCCTATGCATTGTTTTGTTGCATAGTTGGAAAAAGAAAACAAAAAGATGATCGATATATTCTATTTTTATTTCTTTGATTCAGGATATTATTCAATAATCAATCTCAAGTGATCATTAGAAAAATAATTGAGCGGTTTCTTGCTTGCTGTTTTGATCCTTCTATTAATAATCATTTTCAACAGGATTCTTTTTCTTTGAGGGAGGAAGTACATTAGCCAACAAAGCAAGTCGCTTCAATTCGAAAGCTTCCGATGACACGCCAGGTACACTCTATAGATACACATATGCATACATACAACATTTGAGAAAAAAAAATGTGTTCTTAGGGCCCGGTGCTTATGAATTAGATTCAATACAAACAGCTCGTTCTATTATCGTTGATAATGTCAAAGCAAGTTAACATCTAACATTCAGAATAATGCATGTTATGTTATGTTATGTTATGTTTTTTTCTTCTTTTTCCTATTTAAAATAGCATCCGCGTCATCATACATTTAGTTTTAATGGAAAATTAGTTCCACCTTCAATACCGGATCCAAAATTTGCGTTCGGTTTTGAAGAAGATGGTAGAGGAAAACTTGTACCACAACATCCGCCTGAACGAGATGCAAGTTTAGGTCCTGCTTTTTATAATTCATCATCGTCTGTATGATTATTTTATGTTATTCATTAAATTGTTTTCTTATATAAGAAAATTTAGCTAGAACATGATACAACCAAACATTATCAGGGTGTCCATTTTGGTAAATATTCGAGTAAACGTACAGATTTTTCGGGCAAATCAGGTCCTGGTCCAGGTGATTATGATCTAAATGAACCATTTAAACTTGAAGTTCAACATATGAATTTGAAACAATGGGATAAACGACCAGAATTACAAGTACCACGATATCCTGATGTTCTACTTAAAACAGTTGCTAAAGATGTAATGAAAAAAATTAAATAAAAAGCAAAAAAAGAAATCCTTCGTTTTGAATTTAGAGTGTTCCCGGACCCGGTCAATATTTAATAAAACGTGATCTTGATCCTGAACCATCGAAAAATGATATAACAGGACTTGAATTTGAACGACCACCATTTGGTTCACAAACTAAAGTATTTGAAATCAACATTAAGCACATCAAATTTTTCATAGTTTTTTAATAGCGTTTTGAAAAACCGATATCTGAAATTCCCGGTCCTGCGACCTATGATGATAAAATTGTAACAGCGTTTAGTTCTATTTTCAACAAGCCAACAAGTCTTAAACGAACACCCTTTAATCAAACAGCCGCTCGATTTCTTTCATTTGATTACAAGTCATCAAGTGCACCCGGTCCTGGTCAATATCGTATATCTAGTTTTGCTGATGACAATTTACGTCGAGCTGTTCTTGAAGGTGGTAAAAAACCACCATTTAATGTTGCTTCCATGCGTCGATTAATGATAACACGTAACGATGCCTCTCAAACACCTGGTAAAAAAAATCTCGATTTCTGCTTGTTCTAATTACTAATAATAATCTATTTATCTAACACTAAAGGTCCTAGTAGTTATAACATTAAAACTCGACCATTTAAACCAATAATGCAACAACCATCAGCTAACTTTATTTCTCATACTGCTAGAGAACCTATCATTGAAGTAAATCTAATTTCCTAATTTTCGTGTCTTACCAGTGTTTACTTTCATAGGACATACCCGGTCCAACAGCGTATGATGTTCCACGTGCTTATCAAGCATTGACGTCTCAACATCGAAAATCACCACGCTCAAAGAATGCTCGTATACGGCATAGTCAATTCTTAAGCGCCGCCAAACGAACATTTGCTAGTGAAATTTCAAGTGATACACCTGGACCCGGTGCATACGATAGTTTGATCTCTCCACGTACACAAGGTTATGCGCCTGTAAAAGCACAACGTTTTCACTATGAAGTGGAAAAATTACCGGGTCCTGCTGATTATGAAGTAAGAAATATAACAACAATAACAACAAGAAAAAAAATCTATTCACTGCAACCTAATATTTTCTGTTTTTAGCTCTCACCACTTATGCAAGACACTGTTCTTCGTGGAACATTCAATTCGAAATTAAATAATCCTATATTAGCTAAATTAAAAAGTCGCGCATTAAGAGATGACCAATCACTTCTTTTTGAATCAAGTTCTACTACAAAATTACCAGTTACCGGTGAATCTACTGGTGACATAGGCGCGCAAGCATAAAACTAGACTCAGTAAATAATAACTTATTTTATATTTTTCTTGTATAGAACTTATTGAATAAATAAATGAATAAAAGAAACAGTCAATATGTAGCACTATCTTTTGATATTTTGTTACAGAACATCATGTTTAATAAGTAGTTAATATCGAGTGTTCATTTTTCACATTAATTCTATACAAAGCACTTTCTCCTTAATTATGTTAATATTCGTTGTCAGTCTAATGAGAGAGAAATTCATGCTTCAGATTACAATAATTATATTCTTTCGTCATAAATTAATAATATTTGACTTTATATGCTTGAACCGCTTAAATATTCATAATATAAATGCTATTAGTAGTTATTTGTACTCTTTAATTTATTTGATTGTTCGAATTCCTATATGCAAAATATTCATGTGTGCATTCAACTATTTTTTCACATAAGAACGGTTATTTCCGCATCTTCTCTCTGTACTATTACTTTCGAGACGTTTGCTTTTCATAATGAGCTCAACAAAGAAAATAATTTGCTGTGGCAATTTTAGAAGATAAAGTGTCATCTATTTTATTATTCGGCATCCGATGTGCCAATTAGAATAAAAAGGAGTATGTCTTTTATATGTTGACCTATTTCAAATTCAATTTATTTTACCAGAAAAAAAGAAAATACAACAAGTTACTATTAACAACCTAAATGATAAACAAGTCCGTCTAAATAGGCATCAACTTTTAGATCAGGTAGATTCAACATAACTAATTCCACATTTGCTTCGTCAAGCATTTGCATGGTTACATCATCATGACCAACCCAATTATCACGTTTAATCGTTGTACTTATTTTATAGAATTGTTCATGAACAAAGATTTTTTTAATACCACTCTGAATGATAGCACTAGAATAAAAATACAGCGAAAAAGAAAACAATTATTCCAAATCCTCATGAAAACTTACCGTGCACAATCTACACAAGGTAATGCTTGTACATACAATGTTGCACCGTCAGTTCGTATTCCGTGTCGAGCAGCTGTAAATATTGCATTACGCTCAGCATGTTCAAAATACATGTATTTGATAGGTCGTTGAAAACGATTAGGTAAATCGTGAACTCCTGTTGAGAGGAAAAGATTTTGTTATAAGAACGGATCTGTCTGTTATTTAATCACCTTCAGGTATTCCATTGTATCCTGATACAAGGTCACGTCTGTCGCGTACAAGTACCGCACCTATTTTTGTTCGAGGATCTTTTGATTTTTCAGCTAGAAAAAGATCAAACATAATGCTTTTAATTCTCTTATTCATTTCATCAAACCTGTTAAATAAACTTTAAGCATGAAAAGTTCATTCCAATTCGGTGGTTTATAATCTTCAAATGGTACACCTACTGGTAGTGATTTAAAGCTTGTATGTCCGTTCATTTTTGACTTGATCTGTAATTTATGTATTTTTTTTTTCTTCTTGAATTTATTTCTTACAATGTGATCATCATTTATATAGATATCAAGAATTGATACGTGACTATTGTAGAGAGAAGAAAACGAGAAAAAATAATCAGCTTTATTGTTTTCTTTTTCATGCATTTTTCACATTCCAGACGGACGAGAAGGGACAGCAAAAAAAACAAAGATAAACGAAAGAATAAAGTTAATCGTCAGAAAAGTATTCGGCATCATCATTGGCTGCTGCTGCTGATGATGATGTATTCTTCTTTGAACCAGGCACTGCTGTTGTAGATTCTAGAAAGAAAAAACAGATAAAATAAAATACAAAAATATTTTACAAAATAAACTTTGATCAACTGGAACTCCCATCGGTGATACCATTTGAACATAAGCTTCGGGTACAAGACCTGATCGTTCGCGTCCTTTAGCAACAAGCCAACCTTCATATTCAGGTTTCGATTCGATAAATATCTTATCGTCCTTTCGAACAGACATTTCATCATCATTTGTACCTTCAAAATCATATAAAACAATCGCTTGACATGGATACATAGGTGATGGAACTTGGTTCTTTGACGAAGGCTCATTCTTCAAAAACAAAATTAAATCTTATCAATTAAAAAACAAAATTTCTCCATGAAAACTATTATAATACTTCGATCTGAGTTGTTGATACATTAGCATCACCTATTGGATTCCCAATATTATTTGCTGTATTTTCCTAGATTATAAAAATGAAATATTATAAAAGAATAAAAGATTCTTAATATCATCAATTTTTCATAGAAAGAAAATTGAATTAATTATCAAAGGAAATTATAAGAGTCTTAAGATAAAACATAATAGTCACATTGCTATTTTACATCCGGAATTAAACATTACATACGTCATTGTAAATTTGAGCTATTTCTATCTTTGATATTAATAGATAGAAATTTTCAGAAAATAGAATGTTTTGCTCTTATGAAATCATCCGGTTAATGTCAAACTGACAAATTCAGTGTCTCGTGATACGAGACAATAAGTTGCCTACGACATTTTTACTTAACGTAGGAAACCTCTATTTATTTTAACAAATGACAGGTTATCCTCTCTACATTCAATAGTAATATTACACTCGTTATAAGTATATACAAATGCATTCAGAGTTCGATTTCTGCTCGTATGACGTATTTGAAAGTTTTACGAATTTGGAAAATATGAAAATAATTTTTATTCAGATAATACTGACCGTTTTCGAACTTGAAATAAATGGCTTTAGACTTCCTATTAATTTCGATCCAGCAGTGCGAGCTGATGCCGATATTGTTTTTATTTCAGGAACTAATGTTTCTAAAAATATTGAAATTTTTACAAATGACATCGAATTTCTATTGCATCTTTTTTGTGATATTTTACCTAATGAATCAATTATAAATGAAACCATTGTTTTGCGCATCTAGACAGGAAATCGATCATATATGAATATAGAGTGCGAAGATAGTTCATACTTCCATTCGTTTAAGTTTAATTTTTGCTGCATCGATCCGTGAATCCTAGGCAAATAGAAAAGAAAGTAGTTATTATCAAAATGATACATACGATGAAAAAATCGTTAGTATAGCGCGATAACCACACGTCGGAAAAATTCCGTAGTTTTATTATCAAAATGTAAAAAGTTTCTTTAAGAAAGCTGTTTTAACAAATATTTCATTTAAAATACTTTTCAAAAGCTGAATAATACACTACATGTTCATATAAAATCAGTAATACGCTAGCAAAGCTATGTGAGATTTGTCTAACAAGCGTTCTATAGGAATGAATTTGATAGGATCAATAAAAGTATAATTTTGACTACTGAAAAAACAAATTTTCCTAGGAAACGGAAGTCATCCTCTAAATTCCAGAAGTGTGGTGACAAATTTTTGAAGCCTTGGAACATATTTTCAACAAAAAAATGATCGAATCTCGATGATAAACAATTGTCATGCTATATTAAAAACTATTCTCTACTCGTACTTTGTTCTGTTGTGCATTAAGTAGTGAACTTTCTAAAGCCAATTGAATTTGTTGATCTACATCACGTAAATCATTTGCAGCTGATTGATAGCATGATAAAAATTGGCCATGATGTTTCTCTTCGGTAATAATTTGATCACTCTTAAGCAATAAATAACAAAAGTTAGTAATAAATAAGTAGAAATCTTGATATTCTACTTGATTGGCTACAAGAACTAAAGGATAATTTTGAAATGTTTTCGGTAATAAACGGCGCTTTTGTTCGTCGCCATCCTGTATACCAAAAAAAACCCTAAGATTTGATAATCGATACTGCTCAAGTTTAAGATATTACTTGAGCAGCCACATGAATAGCACGTTGAAGTGTATCGCGAAGACGCTTATATTCAATATAGACAAGATCCTCGAGTACTTGTTCGATTTGTGGAAAAATATCACATACAAGTAACTAAATACGACAAAATTAAAGCGAATCATAAATCAATTTAATTTTCAAACTTTGTCGAGATCAATGATAAATTGTTCAATATAAAACTTTAATGCATAATTCATTTGTTGAACATGTAAAATATACATATTTCGAGTGTCAACAACAGCATTCTCAAGTCTTTCCAGTTCATTCTAAAAGCAACTTCTCTTTTTTTGTATTATTAAAATTGAACTATTTTTACTTTTGGCAACATTTTTTCTTTAATTCGTTTGATGCTACTTTCTTTCTCTTTAGCTGAATTAATATGTTGTCGTAATCGTTCACATGCATCATCATATGTACGTTTCGATTTTATTGTACGACGTTCAATGTCAACCATTTCTTTCATTATTTCATCGTCATAGAGTAAAACCTAGTTTTGACAAAAACTAAAATTCGATAGGGCTGAAGTAGAAGACAACAAGAGGATTGATGATCTCAAACTTCGAGTTCGCGATATTTGAGCTTCTCGTCATATGAGTTTCGAACATTTGATCTTAATAAGCTTGTCAATCTCGAAGTTTATTTTTTTTTGAGTGGAATTTACATGTTGTGCGCATATGCAATCGAACAGAAAGTACTCATATTTAAGAGAGCTGACATATGAATATTATTCTGTAAAGATGATCCACCTGCCTATGTACTAAAAATAGATATGTCTTACTTTACTATGTTCGTCTACTTTTTCATTTCTAATTCTTTTTAAATTTTCTAAAATAACTTGTTTAAGTACAGGATGTGATGCCTCACGTTGAGCATAATGTTCCATTAATTCCTTTAATGCTGTTGTCCAGCTCGAGCCAATAATACTAAAACAGTCAACAAAAAAATCAGTTAAAAAACCGACTACCAATAAATAAAATTGCCAAAGCAAAGCAATCGTCTACATTCTTAAATAATAAAATCAAAAGAAGAAAGAGAGCGAAATAATCTTGTGTGTTCTCAGAATACCTTGGCCCGAGATAGGACATGCCTTGTGCATGTTCTAGCGACTTTTGCAAGCTAGCGTTCATTTTCTATAATAATAAGATATGTTAGTTACGCGTGAAACACTCGAACGAGAGAAAAAATCGAACAACAATGTATGACATATATATCTAAAGAAAATAAGATTACCTCGTGTGTATGTTTTTCCGTTTTATAGAATGATTCAACTGTTGACCTAAAATTAAAAGTTAAGATGAAAAAAATTGCCATTTACACAAGAAAAAAAGAATCATTTACATCATATCGTCAACTATAGTGATTTGGTCATTTGTGTAACATTTTAAACGATTGTGAATACCATTGAGTGATGTTTCAATACTTTGTTTATCATTGCCAATCTATCATAAATCATAATAGGTAGTTTTCTTCTCTGTTGATCATATTTCTTACTTCTGATATTGCAGACATGACAAAACACAACAAAAAAAAATCAATCTGAAACAATAATGACCTAAAGAGATATCGTGTATTCAGAGGACAAGCAATACAAAAAAATTCAAATAATTTTATTCATCTACATCAACCATTGTTTGTGTAGAAACTAATCTTCGAAATATTCCATTCCCGATGCTCATTAACTCTGCATAGGTGCCCTGCTCGGCAATGCGTCCTTTATCAAGTACAGCTATTTGATCAGCTTTAATTATTGTTGATAAACGATGCGCTATGATAATTACAGTTCTATTGACCATGATTTTCTCGAGAGCTTCTTGAACTAAATATTCCGATTGAGCATCAAGTGCTGATGTTGCTTCATCCTTTGAATATACACTTTTAACATGGATCTTTGGGAAAATTCTATGAAAAAGTACATACAAGAACGAGAATACTCGGATCTCGTAGAATTGCTCGACTTAATGCAACACGTTGTTTTTGTCCACCTAATAAAAATAAAATGCAGCTGTTAGTAAACTTCCACTAAATTTGGTCACTGTGGGAGTTCTGCCGAAATTTTGACGCACATCAAGTACGAAAAGATATTTTCGACTTTCATGCTCTGCAGGAAATAGAGATTTCCATCCTGTACAATTTAGTACTCTCTTTATATCGTATTTCGCAAACGATTGATTCTGTATCTTCCTATTTAAAAAGAAAATTCTAAATCACCTGATAACATTGTTCCCCTTTCGCCAACTTTCGTTTCATATTTCTCAGGTAATTGTTCAATAAATCCACTTGCATTTGCTGTATTAGCAGCTTGTGTAACTTTATTTCTGAGAATAGTTTCCGATAAATTTTCTTCTACACTTGGATGTCCATAGGCAATATTTTCATAGATTGATGAGGAAAACAGGATGGGTTCTTGTGGTACGGTGCCAATATTCGAGCGAAGCCATTGAAGTGGCATTTCATTAATAGGAACTTTTCCAATACGTATTTGTCCTGTTTGTGGTTCATAAAAGCGAAGCAATAATTGAGCTATAGTTGATTTTCCTGAACCAGAACTACCACATATGGCCATTACTCGACCACCAGGCACACGAAGTGTTAAATTATCAAGAACAAGCACATCCGGACGAGTCGGATAACGAAATGAAATTGCATCTAATGTTATATCACGAAGCATCAACGTCGATGTTAATGGTTCTCCATGAATTGTACGTTGAAGTTGACTTGAAGCAATCATTTTTTCATTATGATCTTCATTTAAAATTGTCCATACTGCTTGACTAAAAAATACAAAAGAGAAATTCTTTTTCGAATAAAAAAGAACTCTTAGTTATTGACCTTGCTCCAACACCTCTCATCAATTCAAGATGAAATGAAAATAAACCCGATATAGATACACCAACCTACAAATAAATTCCCTTGTTTCCCCTTCAATAAAAAGCAAGCATATGTTATTAACGAACCCAAAATGCATATAGCAAAAAGCTTGATAAATCTCCTATAGTTAATGCTTCTTCACTCATTGAAATTCCACCAAAATAAAAAACACTCAATACAATTATATTTCCTGATAAACCAGTCATTCCATAAAATAGCCCATAAGCTAATGATTCTTTATATTTCAATTGTAATACACTACTAACGCGTTGATTGTATAACTCAACTTCTTGATCTTCTTTCGAAAATGCTTTAACTAAAATAGAACAAACAACTGTAGAACACTTGTCTTTTTTTCTCTCATTAAACAAACCCGTTCTTATATTTGAGAAACGTTCGTCAGCGACATCGGTTGCTTTCGCAAGTGCATCTTGTACTTTAGCAGATAATCGTTTAATATATCTTCCGAAAACAATGGCACCAACGGCTAGCGGTGGTACTGTTGTTAGGCCAACTAATGCTAAATGTGGACTTATATAAAACATAAGACCAACACCAGCAATCGATTGTGTTAAGGCACGAAGACCATCAGATATATTTTGTGTTACAGCATTCGACATAACTTCAGTATCCGATGATAAACGATTGACAAGTTCGCCCGTTTTTTGTTTATCAAAAAAAGCCATTTCTTTTCGCAATATACCATTAAACAATTGTTGACGTATACGTTTTATTATGCGTTGTGCTGTTGTTAAAATTAAATACACACGACCGAAATTAGCTAATGCCCCTACTCCAAATATACCAACGAGAAACCATGTCATCTGTTTTAAACGAGTACGAAGTTCATCGTGTTTATATGTCTGTAGCATATCAATGATTTTTCCAAGAAAATATGGTACAGACATGGTAACACCACTCGAGATAAATAATAAACCGATAGCACAACCAATACGACCTTTTTCATGTTGTGCTAAACGAAAAAGTTTTCCCAATTCACTATATGTTAATTTTACTTTAGGTTTTTTGGCAGCATCTTTTATTGATGGTGCTGGACGATCGCCACGTGGGCGAACTTTTGTCAATGAAAATTGACGATTTGGATTGAATTTAAATAATCGACATTGATGAGAATGTATAAGAGAATTAGAAGGACGAGATAGAAATGATGCAAGAAGCGTTAAACGATGAAATATCATCTTTGAAACCAAGATTCATCTAAGGCAAAAAGAAAAGAAAAAGGAGAACAAAATTTTTTTTGCCTCATGTCTGTCCTAATGATGACTTATATATTAACAAAAACAAAAACAAAAACAGTTTTCATGCAATAGTGCCTAACAATTTGCGATTATTCAAATACTCTAATCTTTTATTAAGGCGATCGTTTAATTCAGGCAATTGAGGTCCATAGAGACCTTCTTTACCAGGTGCGGGTCCTTCTTCAAGACGAATCATATAATGAAAGTAACGGTAGTGTATGGCAGTAAAACTATATTTTGGTCGTCGACGTAATCCTTTAACGATTAATGCTTGTTTTATGTACGATTGAGCTGCAATAAAAAAAAAAGAAAAAACATGTAATAATTGGCAAGTGCTCTATTTGTATCAGACTCTCAAAGAAAAAAATTAAATACTATTCCGAAAGATACTTACAGACCCATAAATTAGATTTATATTCGATGTTATGTTCTTTCACAGCCATTTCTTGTGCTTCTATGAGTGTCTATAAAAAAAGCAAACAGATAAAAATCATGATTCATCATTTATTATTATTTTTACATCGCGCATTTTTATGGCTATTGGTAATTTATGAAACGATAATTGTTTAACAGCTTCATCAACACTCATGCCACGTACCTTGAAAAAAAATATATGTTAAGTAGGTCCTTTCTCTTTTTTTTTAAATAAAAAGACTACCATTTGCGCGAGAAACCAATATTTCTTAATATTTCCTCGTATATACGTTCGACAATGATTAACATACTACAAAAAAAAGATTGAATCATCGTATGAACAGAATGAACTAAATCTTTCAATATTTACTCCTGCTCGTGGTTCTTCTCCAGGTGCTGCCGGTGGATAAACAATACGATTATATTTATCCCAATCATCGGGTACACCGAATGGAACAGTAGAATCATCAGTTTTAATTGTATCAGCTGGTTGCCAATTGCTACCACGGAAAACTTCAGGTGGTGGTTTACCATGATAGACTGGCGTGAGTGAAAGTGTACGTAACCATGTTATTGTTGTCGACAAATGATGCCGAGCAAAAAGTTTTTGAAATAAAGAAGTCATTACTGCATTATTTTAAATAATGAAATATCAGAATAGAATATATTTATCTACAAATCAGATCCAGATGTAAATGTATTCAATCTTTTCTTTAGAAAAAAGATTTGTTAACAAAAAATATCATTTTTTTTCTGACTGTGTTAGTCATATCATGAGCGTAGGCACAGGCGCCTCAACTTTACGATAGTGCATACTATCAATTAAAAAACAAACATATCCATTGTCAATATCATTCTCTTATTGTTCTTTTTGTAATCATCAATAATGTCATGCTGTTGCACAGAAAAATTGTTTCTCAAAAAGATAAACATATTCAAGTAAGTTGAATCATACAAAGATGTATAACGTCACTTGAGATAGTCAACATAGATAAATATCAAAACAACCTCTAAAACAGAACTAAGAAAGACACAAAAAAAATATAGGAGCGAAATGAAACAAGAAAAAAATAAAGAATTTGAAACTGAAAAAAAGAGAATGAAATAATAACAACATAGAATCATAGATTCGATAAAGAATAGAAACGATTCTTAATTTTTTGCTAAAATAGAAAAAAATCTGCTTTAGTTTCATAGTTGATCACGAGAGCTATCAGCTTTTTTTCCTAACAAAACTACTTCTTAGTTGAAATCAACACGACAAACAAAACAAAAACCATTAATATATCAAACAGAATTGTGTGATAAATAAATGAAGATTATTCATTTTTAATTCAGCCATTCGGAAGGTGGTGGTGGTAGATTTGCTGATGGTGGAGGCGGTGAACAATTTCCACTTGACGACAAACCTGGTGAATATACATCCGGTACGCATGACGATGAACATGATGATACAGGTGAACGGTGAAAGATCCCATGTAAATGATCATCTAAATATTTATTTCTTTGTAAGATAGATTTCAAAGCTTCAACGATAAAAGGATTGTAGTAAACTTAGTCAGTAATATGTCCGCCTTAGGAAATTGATAGTTTACATGACTTTTCTATAGGAAAATCGACTCTTTCTTTGAACACAGTAGAGGATCGATTATTTCGTTTTTCAATTCATTCGAATCGCTATTAATAAATATTCAGTTTTTATAGATGAAAAAGAAAATGCCTTGAAATTGATAGCAAATATCCCGTAATAGATTCAATAGCGATTGTGATAAAGAACGGATCAAATAACAAGCCTTTCAATGTCAAGTTTTACCTTTACTAGCTGTTATTAATGAACTTTGAAATGTGCATGGTGCTCGATAAATAGGTAATGCTAAATCTTGTTCATTCAAAAAATCATTAGATTTCATACTACTATCATTTATTGTCTGATAATGAATCGAACAATCTCTATTGTTGTAAACTCCAGTCGAGGAAAAATAATGTTGATTTGCTTTAATCATTTGACGATTATGAAAAATAAATTCTTGATTTTGTTGTTGTCGGCAGTTCATCATCCAATAATGTGAATTATTAGGATCACGTCTAATTGAATACATCTTCAAATAATAACAAGAAAAAAAATTATCAAAAGAAAAAGATAGATATAGGCATATGGCGCTCTGCATTTCTTTTTTGTTTGCTTCCAACTTTATAAAAATATGTATATGAACAAAATTACAAAAGAACTGATTGTCATCACAGGGTCATTAATTCTTCCACAGGTACTGCACTTGACGATGATGGAATTAATGTGGAAATAGCTATGGTAACTGGAACATTTGTTGCAATAGCTGATGCTGTAGACAAAAATGAAGAGGAAAATGGAATAGATGACATAGATGATGATAAATCATTAATATTATTAATCATCATACCACGCAAAGAATCTTGTATATCATTTCGAAATTGTGTTATATTTTGTGTAAAGTGTTCTTTATTGACTTGCGTTAATGTACGGTCAATACCTGTCATTAATTTATCTAAGGCTGTCGATAGGACAGCTTGCTTGGCTTGTGTATGACCGTATAATAATTGCTGTTTGATTTCAGTAAAAAATTGGTTCTCATTCAATAATATTAAACCAAGAAGAGGTTTCGATACTGCGTAAATATTTCTGAAAATGAAAGTAAGGATTAATATTTTAATAGACTAAATCGCTTTCGGAGAGGTTCGATAATCCGAATGAAATTCAAAGTGAATTTCTCATCGTTTTACTCGATAAACTACAGGTTGACTGGCAAAACTTATTCATCAATAGGAAAAGGCTTGCTGGCAAAATGATTTTTTTTAAGGATTCGCCCATATGAACAATTACTCATAAAAACAAAAGTGTTTTTTTGTTGTTGTTGTGGTTGAAAACTTACTTGCATTCTGCAAATATAATACCATTCAGTAAATTAATAAGTATTTGTCGAAATAAATTTCCGTATTCGTTAACATTGGCCATTAAACTGGCTGGTGCTGTACTTTTTTTCGCTGATCGAAATACATAGGATAAAAATGTATCCAAGAATATGCAACATGAATTTTGTACAGTTTGATCAGGAGATAGAAATCCTTCACTTATGGTTTCGAGTACATAACCAAACAATGGTGTTCTTAAATTAGCCAGAAAATCACTTTGAACAAGTGATAAAGTTTCAATTAATGTAAAATAAGCGATTGTTAATTTTGGATAGGATAATAAATGTGCTTGTTTAATAGATGTTAATATTGATAGGAATACTTGTAGGCAATTGTCAAAACATGGATCCGAATAAAGATGAAATACACCGAAATTAACATAATTCCCTGAAAAAGAAAATTCTTCACCATTAACAACAGAAACAGATAAATCTAAGCTAAGTTTCTTACCAATTAAGCAAGCACGAATTATTCTTAGACATGTTATAATTGGTTTAAGTTTAGCTTTATAAAATAAAACTCCGTCGCTTTCAGGAATTGTTACATTTACATGTACAATTGTTTTTGTTTGAAAAATGTAAAGTAAATTCGATGTTTCGCGAAATAATAAATAAGCATTTGGTTTCGTTGAATCAAATGCTAAACGTTCTTGGCGATTGGAGGTTAGTTCATGGAAAAATTTCAATAATGGATTGTAAACATCTGATCGATCGTAGAATACATAGAGTGCTTTTAAAAACAAGGGTAAATATGATGGATAAAGCCAATCGAATAATGATGCATAGGCTTGTTTGGATACAAAAGCACTGCATAAACCACGAAGATCACGAACAATACCAATAATAAGCGATTGAATTTCATCCAACGAAGCCATTGTTGGGCTAAAAAATATTAGATTTTTCTATATTCTAAATCTTGATTAAGAAACATTTGTGCAAGTTCATATTTAGTACTATCGTAAGGTATGCTTTAGCTCACAGAACTCCGCGAAGCGTTTTCTTATAAATCAGTCAGACATCTCTGAGAGCTTCGATCAATTCTTACTTAAATTGGCCCATTGTTGCAAATTGTGCCACATTAAATGCAGTAAAATCTGGGAATTCTTTAAATATTTGCAGTAATCGATTGCAATGATTTGCGAATGGCTTCATAAAAGCTTCGACACGATCGTCATCATCTTCATCGTAACGAAATTCATGCATTAACATGCGCCCAACAGCAGCATAGAATGTTGTACGAAGACGCGACCAGCTACTAGCGCTGATATTACTATTATTTGAACGTTTCGTTGTTGATGAATGATGAAGAAACGGAAATAATTCTTGAGTATGATTATTAATAAAATATTGAATTGGATCTAGTTTAACTAATCTTCGCACACTTTGATAACCTTGTGAAAGATCACTGAAACATCCAACTGTACGTTCGATTAATTTATCAGTTATGGTTGAATATTGTAAATTTGTAAAAAGTTTCTTTATAAATATCGACAAGAGTTGTTCTTCATCCACAATACCTATAAAATAGACGTAATAGTGAATGGATTCACATTGTTTTATTTTTTAATTTACTAGTTCGTCCTAATGTTTATATGCGACTAATCGTGATTTATTTCTATGATATCTCAGTATTGCCTAAGTGGCATTAGTATGAAATCAGAGTAGACCGACCCGACTAATATGCGATGTTTGGAGCCATAGAACGGAAATAGTAAGCGGTGACATGTGCAATCTGCCGCTGATAGAAATATTATTATTCAAGGAAAATTAGTCAGATTGTTCTTTGTTTCTAAATCAACACACTGTGGTGAAGGATTGCTGTGTTGCAGTATCAAATTACCAAAAAAAAAAACTCTTATCTTTTTTTCTTACCAAGATGTTTGAATAGAACTTGATAGATTTTATTTGATCTACCATGATCTCCAATGTATTGTCTTCGAAATTGTTCAAAAAAGAAAAGTACAGCTAATTCAAGTCGTTCAGAATAGGGCGTAGAACCAATTTTATCTGTTGTCGTTGTTATCGCTATATTTATCCCATTTTTATTATTAGTTTGTGTTTCACCGGCTGTTTTCTGTTGTATATAAGTCATTAATTGTAATACACGCACTACTAATTCGCCATCGAATAAATCTTGATCATCAGTGGGTATTGATAATGATGTTAACGTTATTCCGCGTGCACCAATAACACAGCCAAGAACATAAATCAAAAATGTAAAACGTCTTTCAACTGTTTCTGAATTGACGGCCTAAAAGAATTCAACCAAAAAAAAACAAAAATCAAGAAATGTAAAAGTGAAATCTTACTTGTTGATATTGTTGAGCAAGATCATCGAAACATGTACATAAAAGTGCACAGGTTTTTTTATAATCTAATCTTGACATAATACTAATCATTTCTAATTGTTGTTGTAATATTGTTTGGTCATTATCGAATAATTCCATGTATAAAACATCATCAGTATTAAGCGCATCTAAACGTGATTGCACATAGTAACATACAATTTGTGGTACATAGATATCTAACAGATGTGATGTGGACGAATCACTTAATGATGTTGATTCAGATAGTTTTGAACTATGCGAAAGAAACGCAACGATTTTGGACCAAAATGATAGTATATAATGAAGTGTATTGGGTGATAAATGATATTGACGATGATGATGAACGCTTAGTAAATGATCGATGGTAAAACGAAATAATGTTTCAATAAATAATGGATAATTATCAATGCGAATTAATTCGTGTAATTGTGTATTCGATTTTAAACGAGCTATTAAACGACAAAATTCATGGAGGGATTTTTCATCGGCTAGAAGTCCAGCAGCTTGTTCAAGTATTAATCGAATACCTAAAACATATTGAAATGTAATGCAAGATTGAGATTTTCACTTGTCATATGAAAAAATATTGAACAATGAATGCATTTCTCGTATGCTCTATTCTTATTAAAAATTCTTTTTCTCGCCAATATTTGGCGCTCTTATGGAAATTACAGGAATAATTATAATTTATAAATAACCGTCAACGAGAAACAACTATCGTATCGTTGAATCTCGTACAATGTTTATTTTCCGCAGGAAAAATCGTAACAATTCAAATTTCACAGTGATTCATCTTCTTTCTTGATAATCAGGAAATGTTTTCAATTATCAAAAGAGTGCATTCACACACTTCCGAAGTAACTAAGCACAATCTCAAAGAAAGTACTGTTCATTCAGAATAAAAGTCAGACTTTCACACTACAGTAAACCAATTTTTTATGCTGTTGATGTATCTCACAAGACTAATGAAGTATGTAATTTAGCTGGAAAAATTCTCTGCCGGAATAATACCGTCTGATGTTAAAAAAAAGACTCGATCGTTGACGTGAATCGTTATTTTTCTCACTCCTAATTTACCATGTGTCATATGATTAAGAACAGCAAGACGTTCGTTGGTATTCAATAATGATCGTCGTACACTTGATAATTGAACAAGACATGATATTGCAACAGGTACAAGTGATGTATTCGAGAAAAGAAAATAATAAGAAAAAAATAATTGATAGAAACTTCCGTCGACAATATGATCGTGCCAAGCAAGCGGAACTTGCAACGTTTGATTTTCATCTGATATATCAACATCATGAATACTTGAACCGGTACCTATTTCAACAACGAAAAAAAAATTAAAAATAAATAACTAAAAATTTTATAGTACCGAGATAATCATATGTTAAACATGCCAATCCTAATGATAGAAGTTTTTCTACAACTAAATAATAATCTCCTTGTAATTGTACGCTTGTGATTGTCTTAGGATAGTCACTAAATTCAGTTGATAAACCTAAGGATTTCTTTTGATTGATAATAACATCACGTAAATATTGACAAGCAAATAAATAAATATCCAATAGTTTTGTGTCACGAAATGATATGCAAATTTTTCGATGCTTACTAAATGCTCGAGCTGATGTTTCTTCATCGTTAGGTATACTTATTTCTGATAGAATCGCAATTAATAATTGTAGAGCAACAGAAAAATGTGGTGGATCAATTTGAAATTTTAGTAAATCATCTGTAAAAGTTTGAAATGGATAAACTTCATTATTTAAATTCGTTGTATTTGGACTTAAATCGAACCAAGAATTTTTAGTTAAGCGTGCATATAATTTAACTAATTCAGCAAGTACAAATGGAGCTAGCGAACGATTATGTTTGTATAAATATTCAAGAATATATTTTCGTAGTTCAAATCGTTCCGTAAATGAAACTGCAGGTTGATTTGATGTGCGATTAAAATATTTTATTAATGTTGTAGCACCGAAAAATTGTGTATAAGGAGTTAATGCACGATCAAGTAATATTCGACATTGCGATAGACAATTCGCTTGACTAACAAAGGTTTCAAGACGTTGAGATACTGAACGTAATTGATCACCAGTAACTCCACCACCGTATAGTTGACCGCATAGGTGTTCAATCTCGAGAGCTTCCATTCAATGTACAGATCTATAAAAGAAATAGAAGAAAAAAAGGAATCTTTGAATTGTCTAATGACAAACTTTTTTGTGTTCGAACGAAATAGAGAAGAGATTGGGTCGTAAGTAGCAAATTTTTAATAGGCCAATAAGAAATGAACTAAAAGTTAGAAAATAAGAAATAACACTATTTTATTTATTCTTTGTTAATGATCTAGGAAATACACAAAAATATACAAAAAAATTAATCTATAATTGAAATTAGTAGATGTCGGTAGTGGTCAGTGATAAAAGTATACCTTCAAGTTGAGTTTGCTGATAACCATGTTGAATATTAATGTGTGAAATTCACTGAATTGAAATTTAATATTTAAAAATCCTTTTTTCATGGAAAAACTAAATCTCTTTCAAAAGTATTCATGTTTTCCAAAGTGCGTATCATATACCAAAATTTGTAAGTTTATGTCAATATTTGCTTATTTTTTAGATTGGATTTTTTATGTAACGTACGAAATATGTCGTCTATTGAATTTTCATACTCTTCTGCGATGAAAACTTCTCAATGTCTTCATATAATATTGTGTAAATCGTTACTTCCTTATTGTAAGTAACAAGAAGTGTGGTGCAGTGTTTCCAATGGAAATTTAGAACAAAATGTACATGCACACTTTGATTATGCATACAAAGCATATGTGTACACTTTGCTTTTAGCGCCAGAGTGTACAAAGTGCACCAAAAGCAAATTTAAAAAAAAGCACAAAATAATGTTGTTGTTTTTTTCACAAAAAAATATAAACTAATCTTTGATAAATGAATAAATGATATATAGATGTACTATCTAATAATCTGACACGTTCCGTGGCAAAATTACAAAAAAAAGATTTTCACAAAAACAAAAGGTTAATATATCTTTTTTTCTAATAGTATGTTTTAAAAATATGAATTATTTTCGTCTTCATCTTAATCAAGATGCAAAAAGGATGTAGAGAGTTTTGCGGATTCTAAAGTGTGCCCCAAAAAGAATGACCCTCTCCGTATTTCCACGTCAGCTTCTTTATTTTTCAGCTTTCCGGCTTCAGTTTATGTCCTAAAGATCCACCATCCAATTCTACACAAGACTTGTATCAAAATATTTTCTGAAGAAAGTTGAACAGAAAAGTAAAACAATAATACTGAACAAATAGAAAATAACTAACTTTCAAAGCTATTTTGAAAATAAACTTCAGAAGATTTTTTTACAATACTAGAATCAAGAAAACCAAAGCCAAGAGGCTTTTGAGTACTTTCAAGTTTGCTCTTTTTATCCTGCAGCGCAACGTTGGTTTGAATTAAATTCTAGAATAAGAAATCTGACTTCCTATAGTAGGATTCAAAATGTCCAAAACTCACTATTTTTTGCCAAAGGAAGAGAAGAAGTACGTTTAGATTAACTTTCGTCTCTGTATCTGATATAATAGTCACTTTTTGTCGAAATAAGGAAAATCTGAACCCAAAAGATGTTATTTTGGCTTATTCACGCCTCTTTTTTCAAAAGCTCCGAAACTGCAGTTTGAAACAGATAAATTCTCACAAATCTGAAAAATATATTATTGGTGAACGTCACAAGAATGAGCATATTCATTTTCAAATTAGAATCGTTCGATAGAGCTTTTTGAGGGTTACAAAATGCTTATGTTATTCTATCCTTTTTTTTATCGTTAATAGCTTAATAGAAAAATCGAAAAAAACGGTTTTCAGATTTGAAAGTTGATTCTTGTGTACGTGTTCAGTATTATTGTTTTCCTTTTTTGCTCAACTTCCTTCAGAAAAGCGTTTCATATACGTCTTATGTAGAATTAAATAGTAGATCTTTTGGAAACAAATTGAAGCCTAGAAAATCAAAAATGAAAATGTTATCGAGGAAACATTGCGAAGGTCATTCTTTATAGGACACCCGTTAGAATCAAAGTGTAAATTCTTTTAGCAAGATGTACACTGTACACTTTGCTTCTGCTGTGTACACCTGCTGTTGGAAACACTAGTGTGGTGTTCGATAATCGTTCAAACCACCGAACCTTAATAAGAATTTGATGAAATCTAATGATCTATTCATTCAATTGATACTATTATATTTTTTTAAATTTTGTTCATTAGTAATATGACTAAATGAAAATATCACTCGTTCGCATCGATGCGCAATTTTGAAATTAAAATAGGGTATAGTAATAAAGATATTTAAGTCTGATGACTGCTTTTATAAGTGTATGTATATTACGATTGTAGTAGAAGCGTTCTTTTTTCAATACTTTTCTTTCTAACTATTATTAAATTTATTTGCATGCTATTGAATTGAAAGTATAAAGTGTTTAAATAGTTTGTTTGAATAATAAATATATCCTTCCTACAGACCATACTAAAACGACGCCAATTACTTTCTATGATGTAACATTATTCAGTAGAACTAAAACTCCCATGCATTGAATGGCAATGACAACAGTATGCTCTTTATTTTATTATATGCAATTATTAAAGTATATGACATTTTTTTCTTTTGTATTACGTTGAAATTTTAAACAAATGATTAAAGACTTTTCATCAAGCACATTTATCAAAAAATAGCTAATTCTTAACAGTTTACATATTTATTTGAACATTAGTGGTAGATACATATATATATATATATATTATAAACGATTGAATTCGAATATATATGTCGGTGTTATTGAGCATTTCTTCTAATAGTTGAAATAAGTCAATGGATCATCTAAATGAAATATTTCTAAACACCGACTATAAAGAAATATTCTTCATCTTTACCTTCTGTAAAAATGCAAGTCACCTGGTTACGTGTAACTACTTCATGTAAGGCATAAAAATCATATTTATTTTGATTTTTACGTTGATGAACTCTAATATGAATAAATAAATTTTCATCAATCGCTATTTTCAAAAAATAATTTGTTCCGTACGCCACTTTTTCTTCGGCATATTTAGTTACTCTGTACAATAGTAAAACAAAATGCGTTTTTCAATGTTTATATTCACTTCAACAGAAATGAAAATTAACCTCCAACTGGAAATGTGTTTTTCTCTATTTTTTTCTGTAAATTGATGAATTTTATGTTCGTGATGTTTTCTATATAAATCATCGATAGCTGCATATTTTATATTTGGATTTTCACTGAAACGAATAAAATAAGACACGAACGTTGTCATAAGCATTTGCTCTTACCTGATTTCTTGAATTTCACATGTGGCATTCTAAAAACAAATTTCGAAGTTACTTTAAACTACAAACAAGCTCTTGAAAACAAACCATAACAGGGCCCATACTATTACGATGTACATTCGACATAGTGATATTTGCTAATGCAAAAAGAAAAGGAATTTAATAATGAATAGAATTTTTCTGCTATTTTATCTAACAGAGAGATCCACTAATGTAACACAACTTGGGATACGGGATAGAAAGAAAGGAAAAGAAAAGAGAAAATGGTCTGAATTCGACCAAAGATTATATGTTAGCCTAGAATGTGTCTTTGTTTTCTTTTACTTTTTTTTCTTGCTAAAGAAATATTATTCCTCACTTCATTATAGAATTTCAGTGTAAATGATAGTGACACTATCGCATTATCGAGTGAGAAAAAAAGCCAATGAAGAGTATCTATTCATCACAAGCAAAACTTTTATGCATAGGCTTCTGAAATTACGAATGCTTTTATGAACTTCATAGGAACATTATTCTGAGGATATCCATTTATGGGTCTAATGAAATACAAGAGTGATACTTTGCAAACACTTGTCTCTGCTTTCCTTGATAATAAAAATGTTTCAACTACATTTAGTAGAACAATGAATTAAAGCAATTTAGACTAAACCTACACGGAGAGACTTATTAAATATTTATTAATGGTTTTTTCTTATAGGAAAAAGATAAAATTCTATTCTACCTAATGTAATGATGATATTTACTCTGAAATAGAATTTCACATGCTTTCAAGCGTAATAGAAGAAGAAGAAAAAGAAGAGTCATCATTTTTATATTACTATAAATGCAAAGTTGTATATTATTTCAAGTATTCAAGAACTTTCAAAGTAAAATTCACCAATAAAACAACAGACTGGTTGCTACTTTTAAGTTTATTGAAAATATGAATTAGGAAAGTTTTCCTGTTAAAAATCAACGATAAGTTGGGATAGAGTCACACGCATGAGGATCATCAGAACGTGCTGTTTTAAAATTGCATAGTAAACTGCGTCGACATTCATGGTCACATTTGGCTCCATTCGAATAAGATTTTGTATAGTATGTGTATGCTAAAGTCATCAGTGGCCCATCAATATCATTTTGCATTCTCTGAGTGAGATTATGCCAGTCTAGAGGAAATAAATTTTGCATTTGATAGGCATCTCGTGCTCCATATTCGTCGACGAAAATTGTTTTATTATACGAATTCGATGCAGTCAGATTCATAATCACCGTACGATGATCGAGTACCCAATAGGAACTATTCTGATAGGAGCCGTCCATTGTATAAACACGATATCCTGGATTTAAGAATGCTTGTGTAGTCAGAGAAGGTGTTACATAGGCCTAGAATGAGAACGATTAAAAAACAAAAATTGATCTCAATGATATATTTCAAACCATTGATATAGGTCGTTGACTATCAGCATCATCATAGAATACAATAAATTCATCATTGTGAGTATGACCATAAAATTGGCCAGCAATAGTATTTTCATATCTACGATCGGTATATATTCATTAAAAATGCTTAAAATACTATGTTTAAATATCGTACCGATTGACAATACTATGAAAATTCCAACTGAATGCTGCTAAACAAGAACGTGGTGGATGATGTCCAATAATATGAACTTTTTCATCATGATCCTCAGCATATTGTAACCATTGGACTAACTAAAAGTGCAAAAAAAGACATACTGATTGTTAGAATTTTGTTTTTTTTTGTCGAAAACCTTACCCATTGAAGTTGTCCCAATGGATCAGTTGCGTTAACGAACAGCCAATAGTTTTCTGATGAACAATAATTCATATTGAGAGAGATTAATCGTAAACCGGGACGTACAATTGTTGTATAAAAAGCTCCAAGTGAAATAGTATCACGTGTATCAGATGGTAAACCAAGTGTAAGCCAACTATCAGCTAACGCTTCGTACAACCATGAAATATTTTCCGATCGAATAGCTGGTGTAGGAAATAGATTGCACGGTGCTAAAGATCAAGATCAATAAATCCAAATAAAGAAACAAGACCGGTTAAGATAAATACCTGCTTCGTGATTTCCAACGGCGGGATAGAAAGTTTTATTAGGAAATATTTGAGTTAATAATTGATTTATAGTTTTAATCGAATACAATTGTTCGTCACGTGATTGATTCCATACATTGTGAGGTGGTAGATCACCAGTATAATAGATGAAGTCAAACTAGCATAATAGAAGATTTAATAATCGTCTTTCGCATACTCATAACTTACATCTTCTATTGCAGAAGCATATTGTAGCATAGCTTGAGCTGTCCAGATAGGTATATCACAATTACGATAATCACCCCTAAATGAAAAATTCATCATAGTAAAAACTTTTAGATCAAATTTCGTATAAAAGTACCAGAAACCAGCGCCAGCTTGACCAGGCCCTATGTGAAATTTCTTTATAGAGTATATACGCATAGATAGATTAGACTCACTAGCTTGACCTTCTCGACAACACAACGGCTTAGTACAATCTGCTTGTGAATCTGGTTTGTAGGAGAAATCTACGTGAATATCTGATAGATGAAGTATTTTTAATTTTGGCGAGTCAGGCTACATGTAAAAATATAATTTGCTGAGTGTTATAATTTATTTCAGGAGGAGGGACACTACTGTAAGAGAGAAAAAGCAAACGTACTGAAGGTGGCTGAGGTGGTTTTGGAGTTGGTTTCGAACCAGGCAAAGTAACATTCCATCGTAGAATAGGAAAATCAGCTGGATTTTCACAATCAAAAGTAAGTGCACATAATTCTTTACTGTTTAGAGGAGTTATTGATAGTATTTCGATGACAGCATCCTAGTTGAATATAGAGAATATATTTAGACGGATAGGTAGTATAACTATTTTTTTCTCACTTTATATTCATGTACAGCTCCATAACAGACGTCAATATCGAGAAAGAGTTCAATTTTTTTACATAAAACAAGCGTGACATTTTCAATATGAACTGTTTCATTAATTTCGATGAGAAATTGAAGCTTTGAAAGAAGAAAAATCAAACAAAAATTCGTAAGATTCTATTCAGCCTACCGCAGGTATAAACAAGTAGCAGAAATCGCAATAAGGTGGAGTAGCTTGTTGACTAAGTGCCCATCGAAATGCTTTAAAATTAGGTGAATGTTCAAAACGATGACGATAACTAGCGATCGTCATCGTAAGCCGTTTGTTTTCATTTATACGTTTTGTTAACAATAATTCAATATTAGGCTCTTGTTGAACTGAACGAGTATCAATGGTTGTCAATGTGGTAAACACAAGCACCAGCAGAAGGTAGGTGAGACACGCCATAGAGAAGAATTTATCGAAAGAGAAGCTATGCTCGCGAAGAATAAAAACAACAAAGTGCTGAATCATGGTTATCTTATCTAATCTTTTTGTGAATACTATTTTGTTGCAGAAAAAATAACGAATAGGAACGTTCTTTCATAATAAAGTATGGCTTTTTTTGATAAACAGTATGAAATATGGCTGGACGCTTCAAACGTAAAATTAACGCATTAAATGTCTTTCAAATTAGTTAAAGGAAATGTTTCTTTGAGCACATGGTTGCTTCTTTTTTGTTTGAGCGATTTCTAGGTGAAGGAAGAAGAAAAATATTTATCAATCAATTTTCTACGAGAAATTTTCTTTTACATGTTGCCGTATTGTTGATAAGTATTGACACAGGCTTTCAATGGCGAAAACCAATTAGGTTAATGATTTTTTCAAGAGAACTGCGGTAGAAATGTAAGAAAAAAACAATTCGGTTCTCTTTGATGCACATATTCTAGTCAGTCGTGTTCGGTACAAGCACAATGTTAGTTGATATTTTGACTGCGTCAATTCTAGTGTTGACGATCAATGTTATTCCGTGTGTGCATAGTTTTGGCCATAGTTATGTTATCAAGAAAGATTGGCTTAGCGGTGCTTTATCACGCGAATTTTCCGTCTACGACAAAACTGAAAAGGTACTAAAATATCGCATTGAGTCTCGATTTGCTTTTCGACACAATAATAAAATAGTGGCTTACCCTTCGAAACAAGTCCTTGGCAAATTAAATGGCCGATGGTCATTGAGAGGATATGTAGGTGATATTTCGTTTTTGGATCAGTCAACCAATCGATGGATCGATGGAAATATTACAGAAATATCAAATTGGCGAATGCGTGAATTTATGATTAATTGGAATGGGACGAATATAAATCTGAAAGGTCAAGTTGATCTTCTACCTAAACAATTTTATGAAAAGGGCAGAGGCGAATTGTTAGCTCAATACAAAATACGATCGGCGTCAAGATTGTGGGCTGCAAGATACGATATGGACATATTTTCTATTAAATATCCCGAATCGTTGTATCTTCTCGGATTAGCTGTCGAAGAGTTGAGATCATCACCACCGAAAGGCTAGCAATGAACGCCTTTATACTCGATCAAGGCAAACTAATAAAAGAATGGCTTATTTTATTCTGTGTCATGTTGATCTTTTCACGAATAAATACGTTTTCTTTCGGTCACATTTATGATGCATAAGGTGTTGTTTGAGATGGGGATTTAAACTTAAAAGTCTGCTACATATATTCTTTGACTTCAAGTTTTCACAACTGAGTTATTTATCATCAATTTTCATAATATCTAAATGGTTGACGTGGAGGAGAAGATAAGAAATTAGGCTGTTCGAATTCAAACTCTTTTAATTCGGACTAATACGCCACTTATGGAAGGTCAATGTATAATGACTAATTAGTTATTGTTAATACAAGAGAGCAAACTAATAATGTATGAAACAATGCATCACGATAAAAAATTCGATATAAAAAAACAGAAGTGGCTGCTCTGCGAAGAATCGAACCTTCTTCCTATCATTGTGAGGGAGAGAATCATGATTGTTTGGATCAATACTTGAAGATTAGCTACAGTCATATATTTATCAATCATCAGAGTTAAAGGTATGGAGAGAATATTCATCAACTGATCTTGATTAACATCATCTAAAACGTTTCAATCCGAGTTTTAATCATAGTTGATTTTCTTAGCAAATATCAATTGAATCCCATTCAGATGATGACACATGAGTAGAAGTATGTGTTGACAAAATAGCAAGACATAACTTTATCTTGACTTTTTTCTCTAAGTGACCAACAAAAAATTCATTCTTTCTATTCAAGATACTTTTAATTTTTTAAAGAACAATAATGTTATTACTACAATACTTTGCTGCTCAATTAGGATAAATGTCTGTCTAATTAGTCATTGTGTGATATATTCTGGTATTTGTGTGCAATGTCTTGCGCAATGTGTATAACATAAAGTGAAATTACAACGCGTTCTCTGATTTTTCTTTTTCCTCACTATGGAAAATCGATCTACGATTCCATGATGAAATTGATGTTGCGTAGTGGCAGTACCTCATCTATTTTGTTAGTGTGATTGCAAGGAGATGTAATTATTAGTTAAAAATTAGCTTTTAGGATAAGAATTTCCGATTATAGTTTTTATGAAAAACAAATACTTTGAATTGAACAAGTCAATTACGGGCGGTAGACGAGTTTTTTGAAATTGTTTAATGTCGGAATCTTAAGAATGGTGGACGTAGGACTCTCGCACACAAAACTGAACTTTAATGTAGATGTTTTCTCGAGTGCTATTGACCTTCTGGTATATATTTTCATAATGTCAAGGCATGAAAGAGCAGTAGAATGTTTGCAACAAAAACCTATAACCATAATTATATGCTTCGGTGTGTCGTCGTGTTGACGAAGGAAAGAAAGAAAAATGTGTGTGCTTGTTCGTTGTTGTGTTTCTTGAATCAATACCATGGAGAGACTGCACACTAAAAGCAAAATTCTTATCGATCTGTTCTTGT